CCCCACCTCCTGCCGCCGCCAGCAGCGTGTGGGGTGCGCCTGTCCGGGCCCTGCTCTCGGCCCGTGGGGCGCGTACCCAGAGGCGGGCCCGCTGGGTCACACAGTGAGTCTGTGTTTGACTGTGAGAGGAATCACCGTATGGTTTCCGAGGTGGACTTCGCCAGTCTTGGCTTCCTCCCTGCCCACAGCTGCTGCTTCTGGCTTCTGTCCCCTCCCCGGCTCCATGGCCCACGATCTCGCACCCCTCCCTCATGTGTGTCAGCTCCTCCCCTTGCCTGTGCTGGCCCCCTCACCCCTCCTGCTGGGCTTGCAGGGGGTGCTGGTCAGGCACGTCCTCACTCTTGCTTGTGACGCCGTCAGAACCTCTTGCACGTTTACATGTTCAGAAGAGAGGACGCCTCGTGCCCTACAGCGCTCTGGCCTCCTCCTCGCCCACGGAGCTGGCTGTTCTCACTTGGCCGCAGGGCCCAGTCACTGTGGCACTAGGGCGAGCAACTTTCCTGTCCTCTGTCCGTCCCAGAAACGGTCTGGCTGGGCTCTTCCTCTTCTGTCGCCAACCCCTGCTCTTCTCAGCTTCCTTCCATCCTCTTTTACAGAAAGCGCTTTGCTGAGGTGTAGCCCCGCCCTTGAGCCCTCCTAGCGCCGTCAAGTGTCTAGCAGCCTGTAGAGCCCTCACCGTCAGGCCGCCAGCACCTCTCTCTGACTCCAGAACATGTTCGTCGCCTGCTTCTGGCCTGGGTGGAAAGGGGAGGCTGTCAGGGGCCGTCTGCGCTGCGGCCCGGCTGTCCAGAGCCCAGCCCTTTACGCGGCCGCTGACACTCTGTGTGAAGGTGCCGCCGTTCGTTCTTACTCGTCAGCTGCGGCCACCGGCCCCTTCTGCCTCCGGGCTTCTCTGAGCAGTGCCAGTGGTGTGCGCGCGCACTGGTTCGCGGGAGCTGCCTGCCACAGCTCTGGCCTGGGCATGGCGAGCCTCCAGGCTGTTGGTAGCACTCATCAGCCCCAGACAGCAGAGACAGGCTGGTGCCCACGGGCACCTCTGTCTCCAGGCTTGCGCCTCAGACCCCAGGCCACTGCCTTCCGCAGGTGGCTGAGATCCAGGTGGAGATGGAGCTGCGGGATGAGCTCCTGCCCAGAGCCCAGAACCTCCAAAGCCGCCTAGACCGACAGACCGTCGAGACAGAGGAGGTGGGGGCTGGCCCAGGGCGGGGGCCTGAGCATACGGAGCCGGGGCGCCAGCCCGCTGGCCCCTTCTGACCTGGTCTCCCTGCTCTCTGCCTGCCCTCCTCCCCAGGTCAACAAGACACTGAAGGCCACACTGCAGGCCCTGCTGGAGGTGGTGGCCCTGGACGATGGAGATGTGCTCGACTCCGTCCAGGCTTGTCCCTCCACCGAGTCCCTGAAATCAACCAGCGCGGATCCAGGGCCCCGGCAGGCCGGCCGGAGGCGGGACCAGCTGCAGGGGACGGAGACCTTCTATCTCACGGTGCGCGGGGGCCGGGGGCCGGGGCCGGGGCAGGAGGCCCAGGCCCAGGGTATGAGTCCAGGTTCTTGCGGGCCTTCCAGAAGCTGCAGGAGTACTTGAGTGGGCGGAGCATCCTCGCCAAGCTGCAAGCCAAACACGAGAGACTGCAGGAGGCCCTTCAGCGAGGTGGGCGCTGCCCCTGGCCGCCCGCCTGCCCACCCCAGCCCCTGGGCTTTCCTCCTGGGAGCCCTGCCCGGCCCCCTCCGCTGGGGAGGGGCAGGAGACAATCCAGCAAGGGGCTGCCCTTTATCACCGGAGCAAGGGCCCAGCCTGAGAAGCATGTTTTCTCCTCCTAGGTGACAAGCAGGAGCAGGAGGCGTCCCAGTGAGTCCTTCCCGAGACAGCACTGTGTCCTGGGGACTGGGCTTCTCTAGGACCAATCTGCTGCAGTCCCCTCTGCTCTCTCTGGCGCCCAGCTCTGCTGCCCTTGCCTCGGTGACCTCAGTGTCCCACTTGTCCAAATGGGTTCTGGAATAATTCCCAAGCCCCGGGGCCCTTTTCGGCTGGGCTGGAAAGGTGGGGCCTCCTGTTCTCCATTCCCCTTCCCTCAGAACTAGCTCCTATTCACCACAGGACCCAGTACACACAGAGAAAATTCCAGAAGAGCCGCCATCCGCGCCCCAGCTCCCAGTACAACCAGAAACTCTTTGGGGGAGATATGGAGAAGTTTATCCAGGTACTCGCCGTGTGCATTCTGGCCTCCGACCCTGGGCCGGCAGCCGCGGTGTGCTCCACGTGTCTGTGATGAAAAGCCCCAGGTAGCAGCATCTTAGGGTGAGCAGTTGAACAAGCCCACGCAAGGTCCTCAGTGCTTTGCCTCACGCCAGCACAGTCCTGGGTTGAGACAGTGGCAGAAACAGGCAGAGGACTGACACCCTATGGAGCCCATTGGGTTGGGCGATGTGACCTCACTGAGCGCGCTCGGCGCTTAGAAGGGCCAGGGAGATAGCACCCGTGGGAGGGATGGCGTCAGCGGCGCCTCAGGCAGCGAATGGCGAGGGGCAGGTGCGCTGTGTCCCGTGAGGTAAACACCGCTCTGTCCCCAGAGCTCAGGGCAGCCCGTGCCACAGGTGGTAGAGAGCTGTGTCCGCTTCATTAACCTTCACGGTAAGCAGGCCCGCCCCCGCCCGCCGCCCCGACCCCAGGGGTGGGGAGGGCCCCAGCACCCACTGGTCTCCTTCCTCTCACAGGCTTGCAGCACGAGGGCATCTTCCGGGTGTCGGGCGCCCAGCTCCGGGTCTCGGAGATCCGAGAGGCGTTTGAGAGAGGTGGGGCTGGGCCGAGCCGGGCCAGGTAGGGGGCAGGCCGGAGCAGGTGTGAGTGGCCTTCTTGTCCCCCATGGGCTAGGGGAGGACCCGCTGGTGGAAGGCTGCACGGCCCGAGACCTGGACTCGGTGGCCGGGGTGCTGAAACTCTACTTCCGGAGCCTGGAGCCCCCCCTCTTCCCCCCAGACCTGTTTGGGGAGCTGCTGGCTTCTGTGGGTAAGGCCCAGGTCTGCGGCTGGGGCACTGCCCGGGGAGGGCACGGCCGCACTCACGCGCTTTCCTCCGGCGGGGACAGAGCTGGAGGGCCCGGCGGAGCGCGTGGAGCACGTGAGCCGCCTGCTGGCCCGGCTGCCCAGCCCGGTCCTGGTGGTCCTGCGCTACCTCTTCGCCTTCCTCAACCAGTGAGTGCTGGGGCAGGGTAGGGCGGCCGGCCAGGTGGGGCTGTGCGGAGGAGCTGTTCCGAACGCGCGCGTTTGCAGCCTGGCCCAGTACAGCGACGAGAACATGATGGACCCCTACAACCTGGCCGTGTGCTTCGGGCCGACGTTGCTGCCTGTGCCTGCTGGCCAGGACCCAGTGGCCTTGCAGGGCCGAGTCAACCAGTTGGTGCAGACCCTCATCGTGCAGCCGGCACGGGTTTTCCCGCCCCTGGCCCTTCTGCCCGGCCCCGTCTACGAGAAGTGCATGGCTCCGCCATCCCCCGGCTGCCTGGGGTACGCGCTGTGCTGCCTGGGGGGCGCTCCACTGGGGCACCCGCCACCTCTGACCCTCTCGCTCCGCCCTGGACCTTAGGGACGCCCAGCTGGAGGGCCTGGCTGGGGAGAATGAGCTGGAGCTGGAAGCTGGGACAGCGGCCCCAGAGGATGGTAAGCAGGTGGGAAGGAGGTAGTGCGTGCCTACCCTCGGCGCCCTCGCCACCTCCTCTTCTCTGCAGACTCGGAGGGCGTTGTGGAGGCCGTGGCCTGCTTTGCCTACACAGGCCGCACCGCCCAGGAGCTGACCTTCCAGCGTGGGGACGTGCTGCGGCTGCATGAGCGTGCCTCCTCGGACTGGTGGCGGGGGGAGCACGCGGGAGCCCGCGGCCTCATCCCCCACAAGTACATCTCCCTGCCTGCGGGGTGAGTAGGCTGCGCGTACCCAGACGCTCTCGGCAGGCTGCCGGCCGGTCCCCGCCACAGCCCGGGTTCCGAGCGTGTCTGCCCGCGTGTGGCTGGCCCCGAGCCTCTTGGTCTTCTCCATCCCAGGGCAGAGAGGCCTATGGCGGTGGCGCTGCAGCGTGCAGGCGAGTTGCTGAGCGGCCCCGAGGGGCCCCTGCTCGTGGAGTCGGTGCATCGGTAAGCTGGGCACTGGGCGGACCCCAGGGCGTGACGGGGGGGGTCGTCTACTGAGGAGGACAGAATGGGCCCCTGGCTCAGCAGGCCCCTTCCCGGGCTGGGCCGTGGACCAGAGCCTGTCAGTCTCTCCGCCTTTGCCCTGCAGGCCGGAGCCACGCACGCCGCCTGCCCCTGGTGGCCCCTCTGGACACAGACGGCACTGCTTGCCCCCAGCCTCCCCGGACCGGCCCCTGGAAGTGGATGAGGTAAGAGTCGGGACTGGCTGAGCGCCAGGTGGGGGCGCCTCTCCTGAGGGGTCTCCGTCTCCCCTTGTGAACCACTCTGCCCCCCTCGCCCCCAGGGGGCCCGACATGGGGTGAGCACAAGGTGGCAGGGCCCAGGGACAGTGGTGGGCGAGAAGGGCGCGGCCACAGGCGGGTTGTGCTGGGGCTGGGCAGAGAGGGTGGCTGGAGCAGAGGGAGGACAGGCTGGCAGGCCGGGAGCCAGGTGAGGAGGTTCTCGATGTGGGGGAGAGTGGGCGCATGTGGGGACACGGCCCTGGCCTGTCCACGCTTCCAGCGCGGCCCCCTGTGGCCCCCAAGGAGCACCACGGGCCGGCACCGCGCCCCGCGGGCGCTCTCCTGCCAGCACGCGGTCCTGTCCCGGCAGCCCAGCCTGGCAGCGGGGAGAGCCGGAGAGGCAGGGGGTGGAAGCTGCGGCCTAGGGGACCCAGGGGCGGGGGTGGGTGCCTGGGGCTGTGAGCTCAGCCAGGAGGCTGGGTGCGAGAAGAGGGCGGGGCCCAGCTGGACGGCCCACCTCACGCTGAGAGCCAGGCTGAGGACTGCCCTCCCCGGAGGACACTGTGACAGCCACAGTGGAAGCGGCCAGGGATGTGCAAAGGGCCTGGCAGACCCTTGCGGGAGCGGAGGTGTTCAGGCAGCGTCTTGGCCTGGGCGGAGAGGGCCGAGGGGGGTTGGTGGGCTGCTGGGCAGCCTGAGCTGGGTGGGGAGTGGCCAGCAGCCACATGTGCTCAGCACCCTCGTCTTCTCTCCCCACCAGGTGGTGGCGCAGAACATGGGCTCTGTGTTCCGAGAGCTCTTGGGGAAGACCGCGGCTCGCCAGGGTCTGGCGCCCACACCCACCAGCACCCCCGGCACTGGGCCCCGCGGCCGCTTGGGCAAGAACAAAGCCTTCTCCCGCGGCTCTGGGGCCCCAGCCTCAGCCTTGGAGCACCAGCCCCAGGGCCTGGACTCGACCCTCAAGCCACACTGATGCCCCGCTGGCTGCGTGATGCCCGTGCAGCACCGCAGCCCGCTGCTTCCCGCCGCCCCGCCCAGCCTCCAGGCTCCTCTCTGCCTGAGCCAATGGTGCCCGCCTGGCGGGTCGGCGGCCGTTCACAAAAACCTGCGTGCTGACCCCAGTGTGTGCTAGCTCTCTGTCTCGGGGGCTGGGCAGGTGGGGACAGGGCGGCTCCCGGCACCCCGCTGCTCAAGCCCAGATGCCAGAGGCTCAAGCCCAGGCGACTCGTTGGGCCGCTCAGAAGAGCAGCTAAGGCCCCTCGGCACACAGCCATCTGTGCCAGGACTGATTGTGGGCTCCCAGGCTGCCCTGTCTGGGCGCGCAAGAACCTCCCGCACCATCTCCCAATCCAAGAGACCTTCTCCGGGTGGGAAATGAGCTGGAACCTTTATTAGGGAGAAATCGAGAAAGGCATGAGGAGAGGTGAAGGAAGGGACATGCCCAGCCAGCCCCGGCCGCCGCGGCGCTCGGGGGCTCTGGGGCCCACTCCTAGCCGACTGGCATTCGCTGGGTGGACCCTACAGTCCTCTTCCCCACTCCCCCACGCCCTGCACCAGGGCCCTTCCCTGGCGCCACCTCTGCGTCTCGGGCCAGCCCCAGCCGGGCAACTGAGCTTTGTGGAGCCCCAGAAGGAGGGCGGCCCCAGGCCTCTCAGGCGGACGTGTCTTTGGCCAGGAAGGAGCTGGCAGTGGCACAGGATGCGTGTTGGGGGCCCGGGCTGGGAGGGGGGTGCCGCCGGGCACAGCAGAGCAGGCCGCGCAGCTCCGAGGAAACACTGCTGCTGAAGAGGGCGTACACCCAGGGGTTGGCGCAGCTGTTGAGGCTGGCCAGCAGCATGAGCAGCACGAACGGGGGCCCTGTGGAGACGAGCGTCTGGGTGCGGCTGCAGGTGTCCAGGCCAGGGCACAGCCAAGCCCGAGCGGCCCCCAAGCCAGCAGCTCCACCTACCTTCCAGGGGCGCCTCCGGGTCCCACGCCGCCCACAGCTGCACCAGGAAGAAGGGTGTCCAGCACAGCACATACACAATCACGATCACCAGGGTCATCCTCACGGTCTTGGCCATGGCGGCCGACACACGGGCGCCCTCGCCTGGACTACTGACCCGGCCCCCGGCACGGCGCCCCCCAGGCCCCTCAGCTGGCCCTGGCACCAGGCTGGCATGGATCTCCCGGAAGATGAGCACCTGACAGGCAGCGATGCCCAGGGCAGGTGCCACGAACACCATCAGGGCGATCCAGGTGACGTAGGCACGGAGGCCCCAGGGCTCCACAAAGCGCGCCCAGCAGTCGAGGGCGCCACTGCCATCCCCCACGTCACGCTGGGCGAAGATGAAGAGCTGGGGCAGGCTGAGCAGCAGCGAGAAGGCCCAGGCCGCCAACACCGGCCGGTTCCAGCGGGCGCCACCCCCGTGGCGGTGTGCCAGCATGGGCCGGCAGATGGCGCGGTGGCGGTCCAGCGTCATGGCCAGGATCATGTAGGAGGACGCGTACATGCCCACCATCTGCAGGTACTTGACAGCCCTGCACAGCGCATCGGGCCCGCGGAAGCGGTCAGTGGCGTCCCAGGCCAGCTGGGGCAGCACTTGGAACAGCGCCACCGCCAGATCGGCCAGGCACAAGTGGCAGATGAAGACGTGCATGGGTGCCCAGCGGCCCCGCCGGCCCCGTCTCGCCAGAGCCCCCAGCACCAGGCCGTTGCTTAGGGCGACAGCCACGAACACCGTGGACAGCAGGGCCAGCTCCGCCTGGGCCAGCAGCGGGTCCCGGGTAGCTAGCAGCTCCTCGCTCCTGTTGCCCGGTGGGCTGGGCGGAAAGAGAGGCCCGGGCACAGCTTGGCCAGGGTGGGAGGAGGGCTGGGTCAGGGCAGTGCACCTCAGGGGTCACCCAAGGCGCTTCTGGCCCTCAGCAGCCGGCAGCCTGGGTCTCATGATCCCTTGCTCCCGCCCCCCACAGAGGGAATGCACCAGGGACACCTCAGCACGGGGATGGCCTGGTGGCCCCAGCTCCCAGCAAGTAGGTAGGGCTGTGCCCCCCAACCCCCACACCCTGGAGAGCAGATGAAAGCCGTCTCTGAAAGAGGAGCATGTGTGCTTCGTCCATCCTATGGGCCACTTGGGAGCTTACCAGAGGTGGGGGCTGTTGTGAGCATGGCAGGGGTACACGGCGGGCAGGCAGGTGTTCTGAGTGCCTGCAAGGGATAGGGTGCTTGCTCACCCTCCCGCTGAGGGCCAGCCCCAAGGCTGGCCTCCAGACAGGATGGCCTGGCGCCTGTGTGCCTGGAGGGGTGGGGTCCAGCCGTGCAGGGGTGTTGGCCGGTCGGGCAGTCGGGGTGCGCTCTCGCCTAATCAGCGTTGATGAGGTCTGCTTCAGGCCAGACGTGGACCTGGCCCCCGGCTGTTCCCTCCCAGCACCCAGCAGGCGGGTGGATGGGGGGACGACGGGGGGTGGGGGGGGCAACAGAGACATACCCTGCTGTGACAGGGGCCAAGAGAGGAGGCCAAGGGAAGACTGGGAACTGGCCAGGCGGGGTAGACGGCTCCCCACTCTCCCTCCGAGCTCCTTACCTGGCTGCGCTCTGGGCCTCCTGGGTGGCTGGGCAGCAGCCTAAGGAGTTCAGGTCTGCTCTGCGTTGCAGCCCCGCCCCAGCCGCCCAGCCTCTGGGAGCGACCTGCCCAGGAGGGGACTTCCTCCCCTGCCCCCACGTGCCTCCCCTGGCCTCCTGCCTGTGGCACCGGGAAGTTGGCTCCTGGTTGCTTCCCTTCCTGCCCCTGAACTCCCAGGTCGTCCTCGGACTCCGGAGGGCCCTGCGCCAGTTTGGCCGCTCCCCAGCTTGGTCCAGCTGCGACCGCCAGGCCCGGGTCCTAGCCCACCCCGTCTTACTAGAAAGTCCTTGGCCTGGCGGAACTCTGGGAAATCACTTAGTTCCGCAGCTCCACTTCCCAACTGGGGAACATGAGGAGGGGGGGCTGTGGGGGGAGGGGGGCCGGCTTTCCTCTTCCTGGCCTAGCACCTCTGGCCCACTTTGAGTCTGGGCGAGGAGGGCTGAGAGCTCGGGGAGCCCCCAGCGCCAGAAGTGGCCCTCCTGGACCTGCAAAAAGGTCCCTCCCATCCTCCATCAGGGCTCTGGAGATGAAGGGCAGGAAGGAGGGGGGTACGGCGCACTCGGAGTTAACGTGACTGGGACACAACTTCCTCTCAGGCCCTTGGGAGCCAGGGAACGTTCAGTCTTCCCGCCTACCTGCAGCTACCTGCCCCTGGGGGGGAGCTCTGTGCCCCCTGTCCATGTGCAAGCTCACCCCTGCCCTCACAGGCTTGCCACCGCAGGCCGGGGGGCCCTTCGCATAGCCGCAAGAGTGCACAGTGGCAGGCCCAGCCCGGCCTCCTCCCTCTGCTCGCCTAGGGCAGCCTACCCTTTGCCCCATCCTTCCCCTGCCTCCCAAGCACCCTCTTTCCCTTCCCCAGCCCGGCCTTCACTGCAGAACGGCCCCTTTGCCTGTTTGTCTTCACCAGCGACCTGTGTGGCTTGAGACCAAAACAACTTAGCACTAACAGGTCCAAGTCCAGCCAAGGCCTCATCTTCCTGCCAGAGGGCCTGGCAGCACCCAGCCCCTCGGCCGCCCTGACTGGGTAGCAGGGGACGAGGGGTCCAGCGTCCTGCACCCTGACCACGCCCTGTTCCTGTACTCATGCCCCACACACATGCGCTGTGTCTTTTGCTGGAGCATCTGAGGTTGGGTGCCCACAGCTGCCGACGGAATTCCCTGGGCTCAGCTGCTGGGCAAGGCGTCTGACTTTCTCCAAGTGACCACGCACCATCAACCGGGGAATAAAGAAAAGACCCTGACTGCAATCCAGGGAGCAAACGTGGCAGAAAGTGCAGGTCCTGGCATGTTTCTCGAACAGATTAGTCAAGGAAAAGCTGTGAAGCCTGAGAGAAAGTCAGCGCATCGCATCTGCCCTTCCCCCACTGCCAGGCCAGACTGCACCCAGGGTTGGCGCCTGGAGCTGGGTGCCTGCAGAGGACGTGTGCCCCTCCCAGGGTTGTACCTCAGCTTCCCCTGAAGGCGCCCACCATTTTGACCCACGGAAACGCCTCTTTCTGCCGTGTGTGGAGAGCAGCTGAACGAGCCAGGAAAGGAATGGCCCCCTCTGGGGAGCAGCGTCACCCCAGCTCCCAGCTCCGGGCTACGCAGGCCTGCTGGCCAGATCCTGAGCAAGAGCTAGCACTGAGCTGCAGGGCCGGCTAGGCCCTTGCCCTCACTGCTTCCTGCTTTCCTTGTTTCCCTTCGAGTTAGGGGAGTCTTTGGGAAGGCGTCTCTAAGGTTTTCTCTGGGCTGTAAGAAGGAAACCAGGGGCTTTGTCCCCCAGGACTGGACAACAGCGCCACATACAGCTCCCTGCTCAGCGGGCATGTGTCCTCGGCAGGTCCTGATGGGAGAACCTCGAGCCATGAAGCAAGATGGTGCATGAGAGACGGCTGGACCCCCCAGCTCAAGGCCCGACGTGTCAGGAGCCTCGGGTGGGTGCGCACCGGGTGCGAGGGAGGCCAGGCCACGTCCGGCCACCTGCAGCAGGGAGTCCTCCAGAGGCCTGAGGCCCCGGGCTGACCCCCGCCCCTGCACGCCACAGGGGATGAGAACCAGGGGGCTGGAAGGCTGCCTGGCTCCGAGCCCATTCGCCAGCGGGGCCACGTGAGTCAGCACAGGTGCCCCGAGCTGCCCAGAAGCCCCTGCCCTCTGGGCGGAGTGAACGCCAGGCTCCCACCCAGCGGGGAGCCGCCTCCCGGGAGGCCCACTGATGGGCACGGGGCGCCGGACAGAGGGCAGCAGCCTGTGCTGGGGGCTCTGTGCAAGCCCTGCCAACGCAGCCGCCCAATCCTGCCCTAGGAAGGGGGGCCGGGGACGGCGGACCTTCCCCACAGCCAAGGACAGGAACTGGGGGAGCGAAGGCCTGCAGCGGGCAGGACGACGGGGCTCCCCGCCAAGCCCCCACTGGCGGGCGGCTCGCGGCCCCCTCCCTACTCCCGGGGGGGCCCACTTTCTACACCCAGGTGCACAGGCGCCTCCGCCGTCGCCCAGGGCCACCCCCGAGTGCACCTGTAGCAGAGCCATGTACCTGTCTCCCTGAGGTGGTTACTGAAGGGCAGGGGTCTTGGAGATAGGGAGGGGTTCCTGAAGAAGCAGCCAGGGAGCACCAAGAAGCTACTTCTGGGAGGCTGGGGAAGGGCCTGGCTAAACACTGGCCAGCTCCCCGGGGTGGGCTCACTCCTGTCCCTGCCCCCGAGGGCCGCCCTTGAGCCAGCCCCAGCTCCCTGTAGCAGTGTGTGCTTTCAGAAGGGAGGAGGAGAAGAAGGGACTACACTCAGAGCCTGCGGCCTCACGCGGCTGGCGGGGAGACAGAGGGCTGGGCTGTGAGCCGTGAGCAGCCCATGTGCGGGGGGATGGGGCCGTGGGGCCTGGGCAGGCTGGCGCCCTCAGCCAGAACGCAGTTGCTGGGCCCTGGTTAACACAGACAGCGGGGCTGCGGACAAGCGGCATTTCTCCAGCCCCACAGGCCTTGAAGGCGTTTCAGGGATGAAAGAGAGAGAAGCCAGGCACAAGAGCCACAGGTGTCCCCGGGAAGGCAGGCCACCGTCGTCGGGCTGCTGGGCTCAGGCCTGCGGATGGAGAGAGGAGCCGCAGGGGGCATCTGCCCTGAGCTCCTGCTCGTGCGTGCGTGCGGGGTGGCTGGGCCACGCAGGCGCTGGGAGGAGCCGGCCAGTGAGCGACATCTGCTGCCGCGCCTGAAGGGGCTCTGGCCCGAGATCCCTGCAGACTGCTGACGTTCTCCCCGCCACGGCATGCGCTCCCTGCGGGTCCCTGACCCCAGACAGTCTTCACTCGCATGTGAAAGTCCGTATGTAGTAGTCTCTGTCCTCTGAGTGCCCCTCCGGCTGCGCAGGCGCGCCCTCGCTGGCTTCTGAAGCGGAGACACCCAGTCACACCGCAGATGCCTCTTTGGCTAGATGCCCAAGAGCGGATTCCTGGGTGGTATTTCCATTTCTAGCCTTTGTGAAGGTCAATCCAGACCGCTTTCCAGAGCGTCCAGTTGACACTGCCGCAGGGGGCAGGACGCCTCTCCACTCCCGCGCCAGCCCTCGCTGGTTCTGCTCATATGTGCTGTCCCTCAGGTGAGCGGTGACACCTCACTGTGGTTCTTTTTTTTTTTTTTTAAAGATTTATGTGTACCAGAACTGGGGTGCAGGCCAGGGGTGCAGGAGCAGTGAGAGGCGTTGCCAGAGACAGAGCGGGGAGTGGAACAGGCAAATGGACAAAGTCCACTGCTGAGGGGGCAGCGGGGAGACGGGAGAGGTCTGCTGCGCCCTGGGGGCCCTCCCTGAGCAGGGACTGAACTCGCTGCAGCGCTGTGAGCTTTAACCTGCTGCGCCACCAGGGAGGGCCCTGCGGTCAGTGTTTACTTCAACGCCATGTGGTCAGAGACCCCGCAGTGTGTGATTTCCGCCTTGTAATTTATTGAGGCTGGTTCAGTTGCCCAGAAGGCTGTGTATGTTGGTGAATGTTACGTTTGTACTTGAGGCGAATGTGTATTCTCTCCTTGGGGGAAATACTCTGTGACTATCAATGAGGTCGCCGTGGGGCGGCCAGAGGAGGTGATGCAGCTTCAACCTTGTTGGTGCGGCTAAGGAAGAAACAACCCAGAGCAGACCTCCGCAGGGCTCGGGCGCACCGAAAGCAAAGTCTAGGGCACCCAGATGCCCACTCTTCCGGCTGCGGTGCAGAGCAGGCCCCCCAGCAATGCCAGCCGGGACCTCCCAGCTCTGTTTACAAGTGGGGAGCGGATAGCAACTGCACGTGGTGCTCACGGGAGCATCACTCCGAGCCTGTTGCCACGTGGCCTTGCTCCCGGCGCCAAAGCAGATGCCGACACCCGCTCAGCCTCTGCCACGTCACACCTCCCTTCTGTCTCCAGCAACTGGGCGGCTCCAGGTCCTTCACGCACGGAAATCTCATCACTTGTTCCCTCGTGTCTTCCGTCTTTCGCTCAGCGCGGTGTGGAGGTTCAGCCACGCCGGGCTGGGTGTGCAGCCAGCCCTCGCCACGGCCCGGGAGTGGGCGTCGTGGCTAGTGTGTGAGTGACGCGGCGGCTGCTCATTCACGCCGCACTATGCCGGGTTCGAGGTTAAGTGCCATCACTGCCTTTCGGTCTTGGTCTCGGGCCCTTGGCACCTTCGGGGTGTCATCACCGCGCCGCCTCGAGCGTGGTGAGCAGTGGTGCCTCGGAGGGTGCCTGCAAGGCTCTTCTGGGCCCCTTCTGTCGCACGTAAGCTTTCTGAGGAGCGTCTTTCCCGAGACCAAGACCGAAAGGCAGTGATGGCACTTAACCTCGAACCCGGCATAGTGCGGCGTTTATTACGAAGCAACAACCTAGGCCTGGAGTTCGCATACAGTCTCGTCAGCTCTCCGTCCTGGCCCCGCCCATCTCGCTGTTTGACTTGAACTTGTCCCACCCGTGTTTGTTCTTCTTCCTGCCTTTTACTGGGGGACAAATAGTAAGTTAATTTACTATTTCATCATTATTGGCCTTTCAGCTACAAATCCTTTTAGTGTTTTTCAGTTGTTGCTCTTCAGATCATAATTTGTTTTCTCATCATGTATTTCACTTTTTTATATGACATATAAAAAGTTTCCACATTCCAATGTTGTTGTTTTTTTTTTTAAAGATTTGTTTATTTGTGCATACAGAACTGGGGTACAGGTCAGAGATGCGGAGGGTGAGAGGATTCACCAGACAGAGTGGGGGCAGATCGACGAAGTCCACTGCTGAGGGGAGCAGCGGGCGGGTCAGGAGAGGTCTGACATGCCCTGTGGTCACCTCCCCTCCGGGGCAGGCGGGGATCGAACTCATGCAGAAGCAGCTTCAGCTTCTTAGTGCTGTGCTGTAACCCACTGTGCCACCACGGAAGGCCCCCAATGTTTTTTGTTTTATGTTAAACATTAGTCAACATAGATTTGTTCTTTCTGGTGTTTTTCACTTCTTTCTCCAGCCTTGTATAATTCTTTTCCAGGTAAATAATTTATTTTCGGGCCCTCCCTGGTGGCGCAGCGGTTATAGCACAGCACTAACAAGCTAAAGCCACTTCAGCATGAGTTCGATCCCCGCCTGCCCCGGAGGAGACCCACGTGGCATGGCAGACCTCTCCCGACCCGCCCGCTGCTCCCCTCAGCAGTGGACTTCATTGATCCGCCTGTCCTGCTCCCCACTCTGTCTCTGGGGAGTCCTCTCATTGCCCCTGCACCTCTGGCCTGTACCCCAGTTCTGCATGCATGCATTTTAAATAAATAAATCTTTAGAAAATAATTTATTTTCTCTTAAGTCTGCTGGGGATGAATTCTTTATTATCATCTGGGGATGCAACTTTATTTTGTCTTGATTTATTTATTGATGCATATAAGAGGTGAGATGTAGGCAGATGGGCAGGAGTGACAGAGTGGGGAGAACTGACAGACTGAATGCAACCCACTGCTGAGGGGCCAGTGGGGAGACGGGAGGGGTCTGCTGCACCTTGCCGGTCACCTCCCTGGCCGGGGATCGAACTCTTGCTGACGCAGCTGCAGCTCTTCAACCTGGCGCACCACCAGGGAGATCCCCTGCTTGCTTGAGTTTTGTTTGACTTATGTTATGGTTTGCTTGTGTAATTTCTATTTAGCTACCTTCAAGCTCACTACCTCAGGCCTCTGCCAGTGAAGTCTGCTGCTGACTGAGCAAGACAATCCACCTCTGATAGCAGGTTTCATTGTTAGCATTTCCACTCATTTTGTTTAGATTTATTTATTGATGCATACAGAGCTGGGGCACAGGCCAGAGATGCGGGGGTGAGAGGACTCCCCAGAGACAGAGCAGGGAGCAGAACAGGCAGATGGACTGAAACACACTGCTGAGGGCCCAGTGGGAAGACGGGAGGGGTCTGCTGCACCCTGGGGTCCGTCCCTGGCCGGGGATCAAACTGGTGCTGAAGCAGCTGAAGTCAGCTTCGTAGTGCTGCGCCTTAACCAGCTGCACCACCAGGGAGGGCCCAAAACGTGAATCAATTATAAAATATTGTAACAGAAAAGAAAGTTCTGAATTTGTCTCTGAATGTTCCCTTGTAGCATTCTATCCTTTCATGGATATTTTCTAATTCTATTGTCTTCTTGAGGAAATTAACAAGATTTAAAGAAACGATTTCTCTACAAATATCGTAAACAACATGAAGTGCTTTTCACTGCTCAAGTCCTGCTTCCCACAAATTGTCTCCCTCCTGTTTTGGCAGTCTGCCATGCCTTCACGGCAGAGACCCTGTCACACGTCTGGTGACCCCCCCGCTGTCACCTGAGATTTGAGAAGGGGTCCTGGAAAGCTCACTGGAAAGGGTGGGGCTTGTCTACCTCGGTCTTCATGGCAGCGCCCTGTTCTTAGACGGCTTCCCGGGGAAGCCCAATGCAGTCTTCGGCTCCTTCCTCTGGGGTGCTGCTGAGGCCAGTGCTCTCCCTGGGAAGGGGCCGTAGCTCCCCGCGTTCTGTGTGGCACTCCTAAGCCCCGAACACTGGCCTCCCCGATTGATACACCTGTTTCGTCATCTTTCCTGCTGCGAGCCGCAGCTCCACCTTCCGCGCGCCCCGTGGCTGCTTCCCAGAGCTCGCCACGGTCTGTCCTCAGGAACTGGAGTTTCCGAGTGGGGACTTCAGGGGGAAGAAAATGAGCGGGCGTGTGCCCCCTGCTTCCCCCATGGGCAGCACGTGGGGAAAGTGTGTGAGCGCCCCCGGGGAGAGCACAAAGGGGAGGCATGTGCCGCCTGTTTGGAGCCCCAGAATCCCTGGCGACACTTGTGCACACGCCAAACGGGTTTCTCTGCAACCTGTGATAGCAGCACAGAGGCGAAGGGGCCCTCGCGAGCCTGGGCTCTGAAGCGGCAACGGAGACAGGCCACTATTGTGGGCGCACTGACCGTGCCAAGCAAAGTGCCCGCCTCGACACAGCTTCCTGCCAGGGAGCTAGACACTGATGGTGTCTTGCCAGACCAAGCTGATGGATGAAATCCCGCCGTCGGGGAACTCAGATGACAGGCACGTGTCCCCACGCACGTGGGGTTAAAGTCCCAGCTCGAGAGCCATCGGGCAGCCGGGAGGCGGCCTGTGCCTGTAGCCTGTGGCGGCAGCACACCTTCACCAGCCTGCCACCCTCTGGGACACACTGCCGCTCCCTACCACCGCGCTTTGCTGGCGCCGGAGTGTCCAGCTGCTCAGGGAGCTGTCCGTGTCCCCTCAGCGTCCACAGTTGCACGACTGCATCCTGGTGCTGCTGGAGGCCTGACGAATGCTGGCTCCCTCGTTCCTGCATGACTTCTCCCTCAAGACAGAGCCTGGACAGGACATTCGGGAGAGAAGGTCCAGTGTGAGCTGGACCAAGGCACTGGAAAGCTCTGTGACGTCAAAATGCAGGAGGGGCCCACCCTGGTGGTGCAGCGCTGTGAAGCCAGCCACCGCCCCTGCAGCTCAGTCCCGACCCCGGAGGTGACCGCAGGGCGCGGCAGACCTCCCCTGTCTCCCTGCTGCTCCCCTCAGCAGTGGACCTTGTCCATCTGCTTGTTCTGCTCCCCACTGTCTCTGGGGCATCCTCTCACCCAGAGGCCCCTCTCTCTGCACCTCTGGCCTGTACCCACATCCTGTATGCATAAATAAATCTTTCTTTAAGAATGCAGGAGGATGTTGATGATCAGGAGGGGACAGGCTAGGGCCCATTCCGTGGAGACAAGGGGGTGTAGCAGACCCGACTGCGAGGGGTCAAGCAGGTCCTCGGAGACAAGAAGGCCAAGAAATAGAGAGGCTGGATGTGGCATGGGGGAGGGCCCCTTGGGCGCCGCTGGTGAGTGAGGCAGTGAGAGCCCAGAGGGAGCCCAGGACCAGAGAGCTGTTGACCCTCCCCACGGGGCGTGCCTCCAGGGCAGAGCCAGGATGCCCTGGCGCTTCTGTAACTGACTGCCCCCACTTCAGCCTCGTGCTCTTCATTGTCCACGAGTTTGGACAACTGAGTCCCACGCGCACTCACCAGAGGAGCAGTGGCTGTTCTCTTGAGGGGCGGTCAGACACTCTGCGGCCATGGGTTAAATTTAAAGCCGCTTTCACAGCCATAGGTCAGGGCTTGTGAAGAAGACAAGGAAAAACATAAAGCAACTGCTAAAAACCTATATACAGCGTTTCTAACAAAGAGAGAACAGGGAACAAGACCCTCTCAACACATCTAGGAGTGAGCAAGAACAGAGGGCAGGCCTCCCTGGCAGCAGCGCCCTGAGGGAGTGAGGGAGTCACCACAGGGCTCAGCAGACCCTCAGCGGTGGTCCAGTCCGGTCCGAGGCTGGCCTGTGCTGCTTCCCACTGTGACTCTGAAGAGTCCTCTCACTCCCGCTCATCGGGCCTGCACCCCAGTTTAGGGGTTCCCACACTGCGCACTGCATGGTGGCTTTGGGAGTCAAATCAGATTGTACAATCGGTGAGCTCAGTCTGGTGCGCTCTCAGGAGAAGGGCAGCGGGCGCTCACCTGCGTCTCCTGCACCCTGGCCCACACGTGACGGTCCGCAGCCCAGTGTGCTGGTGGGTGCTTGACTGTACACATGCACACATGCAGATGGCCCAGTGTGGACGAGTCTCAAAGCCTGTGTTGACGGAAAGAAGCTTGCAGCAGATTCTAGAAAAGACAGAAAGCATAGCAGTATGGCGGTGGGGGCGGAGGCGGAAAGGGCCTTGAGGGAAATCAAGGAGGTTCCATACCTTGAGTCTGGTCTTACCAGGCACTCACAAAACTCATGGAGCTTAAGCATTGACGAGAGATAATGGGTATAAATTATGCTCAGGAAAGCTCTTTTAGGCAAGACAACGATGGTCACATGCGGGGCCAGGTGACCCGCCTACGACCTGCGCCAGGCAGACCCCGAGAGCACAGCATTCTTCCTGCACCACCAGCTGCTGCGACACCGGTCCCCAGCACAGGCCCGAGGAGCTACTGAAGGGCCCTGCAGGGCAACACCCAGGTGTCCCTCCAGCACCCCACAACCTCCACGGGCAGTAGGAGCAGTGGAGGGAGACTCCCCGCAAGGGCAGCCCCTTCTGCTTCTCAGGGCCTGGCTCTGTCTCTGGGCCTGTGTGGCCTCGGGGGTCTCCCCAGGGCTCCTCCATCTCAGTGCAGAGTGAGGGTGGTTTTGCAGTCCCCTAGAAGCCTGCTAGAGGTTGGCTAAGTCACTTGACCCATCTGAGCCCCAATTTCCTCTCAGGCAAAATGGAGGCGGTGACAGTGCCCAGGGTGATCGAGTGGCACCGGAAGGCCTTGCACAGCCCTGGGGGTTTCAGCAGGCTGCTGTGCCTCCCGACCCACACTGGTGCAGCCAGAGCCAGGGTGCCGCCCTCGGGGCCGAGCCGGCCCGTTGGCCTGCATCAGGCGCATGCTGAACGGGGTGGACCGGGGAGCGCCCAGTTCCTGAGTATCAGCAGCAAGTCCTACAGTCCGTAAGGGTTTTCCAAAGCTGGGCACTTGGGGGTGTGGGGGGTGGGCTAGAGAGCAGAGGCTGGTGCTACCGAGGGGGGTCAGAGCAGGAGGAGACAGACGTGCCCTGTGCAATACTCCCTGCTCAGCACCCGCTGCTCACACCCAGCTGCCCATCTACTGGCCCCTGCAGGCTCAGCCCACCGGCTGGCACCCAAAGGCCCAGACCACTGACACTTGCTCAACCTGTCCGTGCTCTCTCTTGGGGCTACTGGAGCCAAACTGGCCACTGGCTGGTCCCTGGACTCCTGTCTCCACTTACCCCAGGGAGCCGAATCTCCTCCCCAGAGACTGCTACAACACCCACACAGACCCCTCCACCCACCCATGGGGCAGGTGGAGCTCAGCCACCCCTTCCAGCTGGCAGGAGACGGTCAGATGCTGTGGGGACTCCAGGGTAGGTTGCCAGGCCCCTCCCATGTGCCCCCCCCTCGCTGAGGGGTTGGGAGGCTGAGTTGACGCCCCCCCCCACCCCGAATGCTTCACTGGGCCAGAGGCATGCCCATAAAAATACCATGGCCACGAGGGCTGCAATCTGCCATCTGGGCCCCGGGCCTTCCTTGTCGAGCGGAGCGGCTGGCTTGGCTTACTCCGGAATTCCTGTGCCTGCCCTGGCCGCTGGGATGTCTGCGCCAAGCCTGCGGGGTGGGTGCTGGGGAGGGTCAGTGCTGGGCTCCAGGGAGAGTGGGGACTCCGGGAAAGGTCAGGACTGGGCCAATTCCCAGAACAAAGAAATAAGACACTGTGTCTGGAAAACCTGGCAGGGAGTTTCTGGAAGATCTGGCTTTTGGGGTGTTGAGCTAGAGGGGTGATGGCCTCGCTGGCTGTGGGGGGTGCAGGAGCCCACACCCTCCGTGAGGCCGGGGGGGGGGGGGGCAGGCACGCTGGCCCCTCCCAGGCCGGCGCCCCAGGAAGGGGGGCATTCTGGGGAGAGCCCTGTGACCCCCGGGTCCTGTGAGGGAGTGTCCAGGGTTGGCACTGGCGTCTGGCCAGGGGCCAGCACCCGTGTGTGCGGGGGTGGGGCTGGGGCGGGGGTTTCATCGGAGGGCCCTCGAAGGCCTGGCCGGCCGGGGCTCAGTCTCCCCGCGGGTCTCTCTCCGCGCCCGGCCCCGCAGTCCGGGGCGCCCCACC